TAAAACAGCCACAAACGATACAATAGAAATACAGTGTTATCAATTTCAAATTTATTAATTTTTTTTTTTTTTTAATATTTAATATGTACAAACTGTAGTAAATAAATATGATGATAATTGCAACACAACATTATGACATTATCGATCCAAATATTCCTACAAAGCAATTGCAATTTGTTAGAGAATTATCTGTAAATACTGGAGATACGTGAAATTTTCATTCAGAGATCTTGCAAAGTAAAAGAAAATCTCGATAAATACACTGTTTTTATATCTATGAAATAAATAAGCTGTGTACGAAAATGGTCGTTCGGATCATTTTCATGGTTTTCATAGCGTTAGAAATCGAATAATGAAGTTCGAAAGAAACTTCGACGAAGCTGTTACGAATTAGTCATGTCACTGAGTTACATACTTCGACCAGAAACCAATAAGAAAAGACTATGAGGATCCACAAGTAGAAACAGTTCGTTGTAGTCAAACACAAGCCAGTATCGTGATATTTTCACATCAACAAAAAGTGTCTTGTCTCGTTCAAATAAGCAGTTGTCTGTGAAACTGTGATAAAGTATAATTTCTAATTACACCCTTAGACTGCAATGGAACAGAGTTGTCAGAGCATTCACATTTTAAATGTATCTAGGGTGATTCTAGCTCCAAATCGAACCGACGATTTCACTTCACGGAAAAATGAAAGCCAGTTCGCGCTTTTCCGGAATTTCTCTCTGTTTGAAGCAATGCCAAATTGCACGACGTGCACACACATAGACGATAAACGGTGATAAATGACAAGTGACGAGAAATTACGACGCTTACGTTGCAAGCTTTTAACAAAGATTGGATCGGAAAAATATCGCAGATGTCGGAGAATTTGATATCGTTGCGCTGCACGCAACTAACTGCGTTACTCGGCGCGTTTTTTCACGATCCTGTGAAAAAGAGAAGAAAAAGAGAAACTAGAGAAAATTTCCCCCGGCGGAAACGTGATCGAACGTTTAACGTTTCGTTAATTGAACGACTCGTAAATATCCCTTGCGAGAAGGACGTTTCGGAGAGCAATTGAAACGCAGGAATCAGATTTCTCGTTGAATCACACGAGAACCGAGATCTGAATGCTGATTCGAACGCGATAAGATTTAATTTGCGAGCGTTAATTTAAAAAAAGAAAAAAATCCCTCGAGCATTACATAGTGAGAGAAACTTGACGAGTCTTCGCGAATTCTGCCTTTTTTTTTTATTTCTAATGCTAGCATAAAATTTCCGTCACTGAAATGGAGAACTGTATTGAGATGAAAAAAAAAAAAAAGAAATTACAATTACACGAGCTTCCGTTCGTACATTTTCCGAAGGAACATTAACATTTTTAAAAACACATTATCGAACGTCTAATGAAATTTCTAACCAAAAGTCATGTGATTAATTACACGATAGATTTGAACTGAACTTACTAAATTATAATTTTCACGAAATTTATATGATAATTAATTCACTGGCCGTTTCGGCCATTTTTCGTGGTTCAAAGCTGTTCGTTGAAAAACTGAAGAACCGATATTGCGATATTCCAGGTTACAGTCAGTTCGCGATTGGAGAAGAAAAAGAGAAACAGAAAAATAATTGCCGCTGATGGGAGAGCGGAGAATCAGTTGAAAAGACTGGGGAGAGAAAACGATGTTCGAAGAATCGGATACGAGTCTGACATCGCGCGGACCTGTTCTACTCGCTAGCCGCTCACTGACCTACACTACTGCGAACTGTCGGTGACCAATGCATGCGAGCCCTCTTTGTTTTTCAGCCGCGCACTTTTTTTTTCACCACCTCGCCATGTTTTCCACGATGTGTGTTGCTCGGACACGCGTGAAATCGCGCGAGAAGGCTGTCGATTTATTGGTCGAGAGCGAATCGAACGGCCCGACAATTAAAATTGAAAACAAAAAAGGCGAACGATCGAGAATATTTCTCACGGGAATAATTCGCTTTTTGAAGCATCGCTGCGAACGAAAGTCGCTCGGCTGATAATCAAATCGAGGAGAAAGGCAAGGTAAGCAAAGATTCCTTGAATGAGGATCGAAGTTCATTGCTTCGGCCGAGTGTGAAAGATTTCCTGTACCCGAAACAGGGAACCGACAAAAGCAGATGATAAATTATCCGGCTTCTAATTAATTAATCCCGGCAAAATCGGTTGGTGGCGGGGGAAAATATTCTCCCCGGCAATGGGAAGAATAAATGAAAACGGGTCGCATTGAATAATACGATGTATCGCGCCGTTCCATTTAATTACGCAAATCGCGCGAGAGGTTAAGAGAGTTGAAAGCGGCAACAGGATACGCGAAAGGCAAATGATTGCTGCGAACGTTACGTGCCGTACGAATTAGGTCAGCATCGGGCGTGTATGTACACATAAGTGTACGTGTACACATGCATACATACAGGCTAA